TCCCTTACGTACCCAGAGATGAAGAGACGACAGTTGTGAAGCTTTGATCCAGCAGTAAGTCTTCGTCAGTGAAGTTGATTATGTTATGGGTGGCACAACATGTGGCATATTTATGTGGTCGAAGCTTCAAGCCTTCGTCCTTGATTTCTTGTACCTTATGGTCATCGGGATTTTCCAAGACCGCTACTAGTGCTTTTCGCATCTCCTTGGGTGATCGTAGTGCCTCCTCAATGCTAAAGTGTGTCGGCAGACCCTTTTTGGGCGTGAGAGTCTTCTCTTCCTAAACGGTGATATCTTTGCCTTTTGAGGGCTCTTTCATCTCTATTTCGACCATGTGACATACAGTGGTAGTGCAATGTTGGAAGAAGTTTTTCAGGAAGTACTCGTGCAAGGAAATGAGAATGAATGACTCTTTCTCCCTTGTTTCATCTTTCACCTTGTGGCTTGTGGTCTTGGCTTCCTCGGTTTTTTGTAGGTCACCAACATCCACCCTTCTTCATTGTTGGTTAGGTGCATCTTAGTCGTTTGCCCCCAGCGATGGCTGTGTAGAAGGTGTTGTGTTTGATGTGATAGAAACTAACACACAAATTAAACCCATTTTAGACAATTGTAGTATACGTAAGTAGGGATCATTCTAGGCCGGAGATTAGAAGGGATGCTAATCAACACAAATTAGACTTAAAAACATAAAACTAAACTCTAATGACTCAAAACTGACCAAACTAACTCAAAATAGCGCAAAACAAAAAAATTGACTCAAAAGAGGAACTAAAAGGTGATTTGGACGAATTCTAGACTTAACTTGACTCAAAATACTAACAGGGACAGGTTTGAACGAATTTTAAACTAAACTAACACGACACAATGGTGAGGGGTTTGGTTTGGACGAAATTTAAAACTAAACTAAGTAACTTGCAGGAAACAAACTAATTGATACTCAATTGGGGTGAATGAAGGGGGTGAAAGGCTAGCTAGAAGATTCTTCTCAACACATAAACCATATGCATACAAATCGATTTCCAGTTATTATTCCTATAAGCCATGAATGACAATGCCCCAAGTTAATTGTGAACTGCACAAATTAACCATCAGATTTTTCTAAACTCATTGAATTGGACTCAACGACGCAATCAAATTATTCTTATCAAGTTCCCTATATGAACTGCATGATAGAGATACATATCAAAGATCATTAAGTTCTATGAAAATCATAAGCATTGACAAGGCATTCGTAACTATGAACTGCATGATACTCCTGCCAGAAATTTACTTAACACAATCATGACTAGTGATTTCCACTACTTATAAATATAAGTTCATAACGATTAGGTGAAATTCCTTTATATTTTAGCATCAAATTCATGCATACAAACTAAGCGTGCACCTTTAATCAACATACAAGAATAAGTTATCAATCAAACAGATAAGTAAATTGTATTCATGCTTTACGAAACAATAACTGGAGGAAATCAATTCATATAAAACATATGTCCATGGCTTCGAATTCACCTCTAGCTAAAAATAAATTAGTTCCACATGTTTGCAATTAAACGAAACCAATCTAATTTAAACATTGAACTAAAACTAAGGATAGAAAGAACCCAAAAATTCCCCAGCACTCTAATGGCAGATTCGGCACAATCCTTGGATGCAGGGTCATGGCACAAGTCCTTCTTCTCCTTGCAAGCACGACACAAGTCTCTAAAAACTCTCAGAAACCTACGGCACACCCTTTATATTTTTTCCTCTGAATTTCTCTCTAAAACTCCCTCGTTTTGTATGGCATAATGTATGTATATATAGGCTAGGGTTCACGGCACCAATCCTTGGAGGACAAGGATAGGGCACGGCAGATTTCTAGGGGGAAAATGATAGAGTGGTTCAACACAATCTTAGGGCTTCTAGAACCAGATATTAGGTGGTTTCATATGAAAAGGAGTCCCCCTTGCAGCTGGAATTTAAGTAGGATAAGATAAGATAAGGCAAGTTAGGATAAGGTTCATTCCTTTTAGCTGATTCCTTATCTCCTATGTCTTGAATTAGTTTCTCCATCTCTTCAGCACATTCCTAGCCTCATTTGAACTTCAAAAACGTCCATCCAATATGCTCCATACGCATGCTATCCAATCCAAGCCCAAAACTACTCTAAAACGCTCCAAAATGCCATTTCTTGCCAACTTTGCCAATTGGACCTGCAAACACATGAAAATAGCTTAAATTACTATAATAAATAGAAACTAACTCACTAAATGCAAAGAAACAAGCTAACAAAGTCGCATAAATATGCTCCAATCAAATTTCCCTACACTTAGCTTTTGCTAGTCCCCGAGCAAAACAAAGAAAACAAAATAAAACCTAAACCTTCCAACAATTGCCTCAGGGATTTCCAATGAACCATGACATGTTAAAAATCACTACTCACACAGATTTTAGCCATCCTTACTATTGAGTATACACTTAACCGCAATCAACACTCTCTAGCTCGCAGTTAATCAATTAAAACAACATTTTGAATATAGTAACATGCCTTAGAGAATCCCTCAATTCCTCACCGGATATACCCTCTATTTTCACACAGATTTTCTGACTACACACTCTACACTAAGTATATGTGAGAAGATTGATGTAAACATGTAGACTAGCACTCACATATAGTATATCAAAGAAGGCACTTTCTGGAATTATTAATACAACATGTATATGATCTCATGAACGAAATGCCACTAATTAGAAGCAAGAACCAGGGATTCCATATGCTCGTACCAATTTCAAACTCCACATATTGAATAAGATAACAATCAAGATAGAAGTCTAAGGGTTGTAATAGGGCTAAGGTATTGGCTAACAAAGAAAGGTAAAGATAAACAAAAGTGCTTAAAGCGATAGTAAACAAAGTAATGAAATCAACACTTAGAATTCAACTTTTAATTGCAGAAATTAACTTTAAACATTCATGGGAGATTCACACAACACTTAGGGCCAGATTCAACTTTTTGGACCCTTTCTTCAACAACCAACACTTGTGAGCTCATTCTCACTTATTTTGAATTCTTTTTCTTTCTATTCTGCACACTTCTCTCTCTCTCTCTCTCTCTCTCTCTCTCTCTCTCTCTCTCTCTCTCTCTCTCTCTCTCTCTCTCTTTTCTTTTCTTTTTTTTTTTTCATTTTTTTTTCATTTTTTTTTTCTCGTGCCCTTTCTCTTTGGCACACAAAATGTACAACCTCATAGATTTCCAACGAAAATCCTTCCCCCCCCCCCCCACAACACTTGTTTTTCTACATATTGTAGATCAAAAGGAATTCCCAACAAGTCATGCTCCACTATTCTTTAAGAACAAGGGTATGGATAGTCCTATACTAGGCTAGGTAGGGATAATGCAGGCTAACAAAGAAAATAGGCTAAATAAGACTCAAAGGGGTTAAACCTACGATACATATGCAAGGGATAAAGCTTTTTGGCTCTGGTGGTAACTAAACAACTCATCTTGTTATTTGTTATGTAATCAATTTTATGCTTTGAATGAAACGGGCATGAGTTTTAGTATTTGGAACTAAACTTCAGGAATCGCCCCGAACCAAAAATTTCAAAGGGCCGCCCCAGCCCGCTCCGTTTCTCTTTTTTAAAATTAAGAACCGGCCCATACCCTCCCTGAACCTTGATTACCCGCCCTGACCCGCGGTTCCTATATCCGTTTGCCCACCCCTAGTTTATTTTCACAATACAGTAGAACCTTCTTCTTTTTATTTTTTTTTATTTTTTTTATTTTTTTTAAAGCATAGCAATACCAAACTAGCTATTAAAAATAACTTGTCCAGACCATATAAAATAAACTTATTCGAAAATATTGGTTGACAAAAATAAACAAAATAAAAATGCCATTGATGAAAATAAACAAAATAAACAAAATAAAATTGTCTTGGACGAAAAATAGAAAAACATAAAAATATAATCCCACCAGAATCTAAACACTCAACGTCCACGCAATGTCGCATTGACACACGTCTTCATCTCAACCCAATCCATTCCAAATTAGAAAAAGCGCTAAATGGGCCAAAGGGTGAACTGCCCATTTAGTCCCTGAATTATTACTTTAGTGAAAATTAGGTCCCTAACCTTATTTATTTATTTTTTCTAGAAAAATTAGTCCTTGAATTATAAAAATGTATCAGTTACATCCCTAATATTATATTCAAAGCTTCTATATTCAACTTTCCGTCAATTTAAGTGACGTTACTTACAATGTCATACACATTGGAGAGTAAAATGATAGTTTTTCATAAAGAAATAGTGTATGGAATTAACTTTGGAGGGTAAATTGGTAATTTTACTTAAGAAATAGTGTAGGTTAACTTTGAAGGGTAAACTAGATGTTAGGTTCGCAACCTATACGAAATGTTAAGAACTTATAAGCGAGAAAATGACGGTATTACATTTTGAAATGTGTCAAGTGACTTAAGTTGAGGAAAAAATTGGATAAAATAGCTTTGAATATAATAGTAGGGATGAAATGAGCTAATTTTATTGAATTTAGGGACTTCTTTTACCGAAAAAATAATTCAGAGACCTAATTTTTATTAAAGTGATAGTTCAGGAATTAAATCGGCACTTTACCCATTGGCAAAAATACCAAAAAAGTGATTTCCAACAAGTCATACCTTTTACTTTTCATACACCCTTTATTAAGTTTTGTCATTTGATTTTTTTCAATTGACTCAGTCCCGACAACCAAAAAAACACAGAATGCATGAAAAAGTAAAAAACAGATGGGTAGATATCACATACTTTCCAATAAACAAGTTAAAAGGCAGTATTGGAAAAGTCACTTCAGTCAATCGTCACCAACCGCGTTTTGGAGGTGTAACAGGTTGTGCGAACCCGTTACTTTCGCCTTCCCAACCGTTTCTGCGAAAGAAAACACAGTAAATTCGTCAGAAATCCGAAAAAAACAGAAACGTTTCGAGGAGAATAAGGTAAAAAGAACGGCGATTGGTGTGTGTGTATGCCGACCGTATCGGAGCTTTTCTACAACCGGAGGTCTCGCTACAACCGAGCCGCCACCGATCCAGGGTTCGACTCTCTCCCTCCTCCTCCGTCCGTTGACCGAAGCCACAACCACAATCAAAGTCGCCGCCACCACAATTCTGACGGCTGCGATCCCCTCCTCCGCCGAACCCCGCCCCATTTCCGGCACCGTTCCTCCCTCCCGGTAATTTCGTAATTTGCAATTCAATTCCAGAATTGATTGAATCGTGTGTTTGGGTAGACGCTTAGCTTGCGTTTGGGTTTAGTTGCAGCAGCGGGCGCCGGTTGGGCTCGATCAGGGCAGGACCCACCCGGGTTCTGGAAATGGGGTCGCCGGAAGTAGTGGCGGGTTGAGCGGGAACGAGAGGCTTCCCGGGTCTGTTTTGCTCGCCAGGGAAAGGCTGCTGGAGAGGCTGAGAGGGATGCCTCCTTCAGAAACCAGGTCAGTTTCTGCTGCTCTGCAGCTTAATGTTTCCAAATTGCTCATCTTTTGATGAAAGTAGCTGGTTTTATCACTTAATTAGCAATTACACTAGCAGTTTCAATGGATTAGACATGTACTCAGGAACTGGGAATTTGGATGCTGGCTTTACATTAGTGCCCGCAGTGGTTTGTGTGTTGAAACTTGTATCGGAGAGTTCAGAGTTCGGATTGGACTTCATAACTATCACCTTGCTGTAAAATTCTACCATAAGACAGATATTCTAAGATTTGTACATCAATTATATGAAAGTAAGAGATTTTCCATAAATTACCATCAATTACGAAATAGGTTTTGGTTTTGGTTGGAGCACACTAATTAGAAACTGTTAGTCATATGCACTGAGCGGTTTGAACTAATAATTGGTGTAACCACCAATGGGTTAATTACCCATGTAGGAATGATAGCAAAATCTTTGTTCGAATTGAAAAACATGCGTCCCTAATATCGACTCTATGGAAATTACCTAATTTACCTTGATTTTATTAGGCGGCATAGGGCATTGCATATTTATGGTGGTGGGCTACTACATGATGATGACTTGAGTCCCCCTGTAAGGGATTCGGACGCTGAAATCTTGACAGGTCGTCCAGCCAGTGCCTACTCTTCGACTAACTTGGGCTCGCAAATTGAAAGCCTACATCTCTTGCAAGAATCGAACAAGAAGCCTCCAGGTCTTAGTCAGGAGGTCTTTGATTGTTTGAACCCCGAGATTTTCAGTAGCACAGAAATGGGTGTTGAAGGGTTGGAGTTAGGAGCTTCTCAAGATTGTAGTATCTGTTTGGAGAGTTTTATGGATGGCGACAAGCTTATATGCTTACCTTGTGAGCATAGATTCCATGCTGCCTGCTTGAGTCCCTGGGCTCATATTCGAGGGGACTGCCCGTACTGCCGGAAAGTTATAGTTGTAGATAGTCAAACTGCTAAGAGGAATACATAGTTTCCATTTAAGTGTTTTATTGCTTTGCACTGTGTGTTGTAGGAAAAGTTTTGAAACTCGACTGCCAAATTATGGCAATGCTTTCGAACTGGGTGCAGGTGCAATGCGTCATCGTTTTGTTTGGTTTGTAGACTGGTGTATGCTTATAATCTGTATTATGTAACCTTACAGTTTACAGCATGTTTGAAAACTTCTAAAGCTTTCATAACATATGTTGGGGGCTATGGAAATTGTTCAATATAAATATTTTGTTTGCATCGTACTCCTGAAATAATCAAAAAAATTTAGTCTTTGATGTTCGCGCAAGTGGTGACTGGGTGGAGATTTTTTTGGTCTCTAGTTCACCATGCATGTGGCCGGTCCTTATTGGACGGGTGGTTCACTTTTTAAATAAGAATTCCTTTCCAGGTTACATGAGCTCAAAAATCTATGCATTGTAAGTAGTATCATCTCTTTGTAAATAATATTGTAAATAATATCATCTCTGTATAAACATGTTATATATGGTAAATAACAATTGCTAGTAAATTTTTTAAAGCAGATGATTGGAAGAAATAATGCAATTTCAATAGATGAACTCAGAAACCTGTTCGTAATATTGGATTAACATAATCATTGTCGATACAGTGTAAAACAAATTTGGTTTTGTCAGTGATGGATGTTTTAATAAATATGGTCTAGCCAATGATGATTCTTTTTCGGTCTTCTGTGGCAATTTAATCAGAAAGTGTACTTGATTGTTTTACTGTAGTATAAGCTTTAAGAGGTTGCGATGAATGCTTACTTGAGGAACCAGGTCAGTCTTACATGGCTTCCTTCTATGGAGGAAATCAACTGCATAACTTGTTTCGGAATTAAAACGATATTATATGTGCTAAGCCTCATAATGAGATAATAATAATGTAGTTCAAATTCGTTTCAGTGAAGAGGAATACCAACTGAGATGAGAAAAAAGAAGAATAAATTGAAAGCAAGAGGTCAGTTACTGTATAACGTAGATGCAACTCAAGGCCAGTTATGTTATCATCACCTATACCTGCAGCCCAAGGAATTTCCCCTTTAAATGAGCCCTAAGCAAAGCCAACAAACCCCACCCATTCACTGCACAAATCTCTCCAAAACCAACTGATCCAAATCCTATTTCGTTTACCAGTACACCCACCCCAAAACCCTAATCATGGAGAAAACCCTCCTCTGGGTAAATACCAGTCATCTTCCTCAACCCCAACCTGGAATCCATGCCTTGAATTCTTCTTTAAAGCCATCACCACATCCTCGGATCCTAAACACCCACAGAACCCTGCCCCCAAATACGGTTACACGTATGAGCAACAGAAGGATTTGACAGAATGTGAAGAAGAAGCATGGAACCAAGACGTTCTCACCACTCTGGGACTCATATTTTGCTTCAGAATGGTAGGGAGACCCAATAAAGAAGCCTTTTACAAGTCCCTATTGTGGGTCCACAAAAACCACCCTCTAGCCCTAGCTCTAAATCTCAACGTTTTTTGGGATTTGGGTTGGTTCAAGGATTTGTTGGAGATTCTCTCTAGGGTTTTGCAGGACTCCATAGTAAAGAAAAGGGAGGAGAAGCGTGTGAAAAGTTGTTGGAACATGAGTTATTGGTCCTTTTGTGACGAAAGCTATGAGGAGGAAGAGAAGGAAGAGAAAGAGGAGCTCAATACAATCACAGATGTCCAAATTGCCAGGGCTAAAGCGGCTGTTGATAGGTACTGAGATGACCCGGAGTATAGGTTCTTGCATGATCGTGTATCTGATGTGTTTGTTGAAATGTTGGCATCGGATTTAAGGTCTTTGAAGTCTGATGAGGTTGAAAAAATCAGCTATGCCTCCAAATTTTGCCCTTCAATTGATTCGTCTTACGACAGAGCAACTCTTATATGAGAAAACATAGCGAAGAGAATGTTTCCACGGGATGATTATGAAGAGTACATGGATCTTGAAGAAGCGCGTTACGCTTACAGGGTGGGGTTCGCGATCAGTTGAGGAAACAAGTACTTATCCCCCTGCGCAAGGCATTGTCATTGAAGTGCTCACTGGCTACAAAACAGAACAAGAAGTCATTGTCATTGTTCAAAAACCGCAAGGCGCTGATTGCTTTAGAAGACTACAGGAATATCGCTGGTTGTCATGATGGTAGAGGCAACAACGAAAGCAAATTGAAATTCAAGAGTCGCATGAATATTGTGCAAAAGCTTGCACCAAAGAAAGCAATTATCGATATTTGTTTTGGTGATGAGGTAAAGCTTCCTCACCACGTGCTGGCCTCATTGGAGAAGGAACAAGGTGAAACTCCAGAGGTTCAGTGGCAGAGATTGGTCAAAGAGTTGTCTCGCAAAGGGAAACTCAGAAATTGTGTTGCAGTGTGTGAAGTCCCGGAGAGTAAGAGAGGGACGTTGAAGGAGAAGGTTTACATTTCAATGGGGTTGTTAATTTCGGATTTTAGCGAAAAACCATGGAAAGGTTCTGTCATTCTATCTTCTCATTCAGCAAAGTTCCAATGCTGAACAGGATCGAAGGAGAGGATCTTCAATCCAAATGCGAGTTCATGAGAAGCTTAGAGTTCGCTGAGAAAGTTGATTTCCTCAAGATTTACAATCAAATTTTGCAGATTGCCATTGTGGAGAAGCAGAGCAATGCCAAGATTCCTAGAAGGATTTTCGTGTTCACATACAAAGATTTCGCGAACGCCATAAATAACAATTGGGTGGAGGATTACAAAGAGGCTTGGGCTAATTACAAAAAGAGTGGGCATTGGAGTGTACCAGAGTTGGTGTTTTGGAATTTGAACGGCTCAATTGCCGAGCCAAAGGTGTTCGGTACCCCGGTGAATAATCACAAAGGGGGGATGATTATTACCGGGTTTTCTGACATCTTGCTCAGCCTTTTCTTCAGAGGCGAGTCGGATTCTCGATCATATGCAGGTCAGTTGCATTCAGTCTATGGTATTGATGTACTGCCTGCGATGAAACTTGCTCCAAAGGTGGAGGACGTGATGAACTGGGCCGTTTCAACACAATAGTTGAAGAACCTGATTGTATTGGATTGATGTAAATCATGATCAGAATATGTGTAGTAAGTTTTGTGTAATAAAGGATGAATTTTGTTGGAGATTTCTAAATTGGAGAAATTAGATGCGTTTCTTTAGTTTTCACTATTTCATCTAAGGTAGGAGGCCTTATGGTTAAATATTCAAATAATACCTAAACCGTATTTATTTGGCTATCAAATGATACTCGGTTCTTTAAAGCGAAGTTTCGCTTAAGCAGGGAAAGCTGCGCCGAACCTTGGTTTGGGTGCATGTACCACCACCTTCCGCCCCAGTTGCTCCATTGGTATTAGGTTCCTTGGCTTCAGAGTTTCGTTCTGGACGCTTTTCGGGTGGCGACTTTTGGACTGGCCTTATGATAGGGCTCAGGGATGAAATAGTGCAAAGAACCAGAGGAAAAGGAAATAACTAAACCATCAAATTTCATTCATGCCTTTCCCAAATGGACAAAGGAGGTTTAAATACAACCCTAAAGGCAACTGCACCAGATTGGAACACATCACCATATTCTTCACCGTTGGATAATACCAACTCCTACTAAGATAAAACAAAAGCATTCATAAGGGACAGTTGCTACATATTTCTGTATCCTAACGTTCCTGCCCCCTAAGAAAGAGCTTGTTCTCAAGTTTTGGAATCAGGGAAACAGTCAAGAATGGCATCAGCATCCTCCCAAGTGGTATCGTGTTCTGGTAAGCCCATCCATTTGATCAGCCAGCATAAAACCGTGTGACTCTCGCGCTTGAAGAGGCTTCGCTGCAGAATGAACTCTAGTGTCCAAGCCACTAGGCCTTTGTTAGACATAGGGGGAGGGTGGAGGAAGCCACGACATAAGATCCAAGCTTGGGCTTGAGGAGAGAAACATGGAAAATAAGATGGATGCGCGAGTCTGGAGGCAAGTCCAAGGTGTAGGCCACCTTCCCAACACGAGTGAGGACTTTGTAGGGTCCGTAAAACGGGGGCGCTAACTTGGGGCAATTGGTGTGGTTGACTGAAGACTGGCGATAGGGTTGGAGGTGGAGGAAAACCCAATCACCTATTTTGAACTCGCACTCAGAGCTCTTCTTGTTCACATAGTGAAACATGCGGTCCTGAGCAACTTGCAAAGTCTCACGAAGAAGGCGAAGTAAGGCATTGTAGGCTCGAAGTGTAGTATCCACAAGGTACACCGATGAAGAGTCTAGCAAGTATGAAGAGACATGTGGTGGAGGGTAGCCATAAACGGCTTCAAAGGGAGTCATTTGCATGGCTGAATGGAAAGTGGTGTTGTACCACCATTCCTCCCATGACAGCCACTCAACCCAAGATGAAGGTTTGTCGCCCACAAAGCTATAGAGGTAGTGCTCTAAGGTCCAGTTCAAGATCTCGGTTTGGCCATCTGACTGGGGATGATAGGCAGAGTTACGACAAAATTAAGAACCATTGAGCTTGAAAAGTATTCCCATAAATGGCTTATGAAAATAAGGTCACGGTTACTAACAATTGTTGCAGGCATACCGTGGAGACGAAACACCTCACGTAGAAAAATGTCAGCCACCTTTGCTGCCGAGTAAGGGTGTTTTATGGTGATGAAGTGACCATACTTGGAGAGCTGGTAGACCGCCACCAATATCATATTGCGGCCCTGTGTAGAAGGAAGGCCTTCAATGAAGTCCATTGCAATGTCGGTCCAAATTTGGGATGGGATTGGCAGTGGCTAGAGCAACCCTAGGGGCTTAATGGATTCATAGTTGGTGCGCTGACAGGTATCACATGAGGGTACAAAGTGCTTCACTGCCTTCTTAAGACCCAACCAATTGAAATTTCGGCGAACCCATTTGTAAGTACAAAGGAAGCCCAAATGGGCGCCTATGAGGGAAGAATGAAATTCCTGGAGGATACTGTTGTGCCAGGGAGACGACTCCACTATAAAAATACCATCTCTATAGTAAAAAAGATGCCCACGGAGAGAAAAATAGGCCTGTGTCGGCTGAGAGTATTGGAGTGCTGTGAGAATCGTGGATGCCTCTGTATCGTGGCCATATTCAGCTTGGATGTTTAAGATACTGTCAAAGATGGGTTGGGAGAAACCCATAAGGGTTAGGTACTCATGTTGCTAAGATAAAGCATATGCCGCTGTGTTCAACGACCCCGGTCGATATTCAAGGGTATAGTTATACCCCAACAATTTGAGAAGCCATTTCTGTTGAGTT